AAAATCCAATTTCACTTAAGAATGTCCTTGGTGAAGCACTAAAAATTATTAAATCTTGATCTTGGATTTAATATTCTGTGTGACAAAACAGGAGGTATGCAGAAGGTGCTTCTGATATAAACTATAACTATATTATGGTGGTTGTCTTGAGGAAAAGCACATCTGTGATTAAGTTGTAGCTTAACTAGCCACTTTTCATGGAATACCATTTTTGCTTGAAAGAGGGAAAAACTACAACTAAATACTTGGGTAACTGGTAGATATTTTCTCAAAAATGAAGTGAGCCTATCACTTTACGGTAATCAACTGATGTTATTTGTTGACAATGATAATATTCACATTTTTCAGTGAAAATTAGAATTTTGAAAAACTTCATTCTGCCACTGTAAGCTTAACAGCTTCCCAAAACTTAAACTTTGTTCCAATGTGATCAGTGGTGATATCAATTAATGTGATTTTTTGATATTGCATAAAATTTTTCAACATTTGTAATATTTGCATAACTTAGTGAACCAATATTTTCCAAATAAGTGATATGTATAATATGGGTCAAATATGCATTGAAAGTACAAGATGACCAATGAATTTTAATCTAACACTATATAAAAAGTTCATTGACATAGTTTCAGATTCCACACAGCATTAACCTTTAAGAAACTATCATTTGTAGAGTTTTTGTATAGTATCAAAGAAGAATATCCATAATTATCAGTAAAGGTTATTAAAATACTCCTCCTTTTTCCAACTACATATCTATGTGAACATGGATTTTCTTCATATACTTTAATAAAAACAACATCAAAACACATTGAATGTAGAAGCAGGTATGAGAAATCAGCCATCATTTACTAAGCCAGATGTTATAGAGATGTGCAAAAATTTATAGCAATGCCATTCTTCTCATGAAATTTCCTTATGTCTTGTAAAATGTAGTTTTTTTAATCACAACATGTTATTTGTGCTAACATGTACTGGATTTATTATTCTTATTTTAAATGAATTAATAAATACTTTAAAAATGAAAGAAAATAATTGCTTAAATCAAGACAATAACAATGTATCATGGAGTTTATAATATATGCAAAAGTAAAATATATGACTACAATAGCACAAAAGAAGGAAAAGAGAAAAATGGTAGAACACTACCATAAGTGTGCTATATTATACATGAAGTAGTGTAATACTACTTGAAGGTAGACTATGATAAGTTAAAAATGTATACTGTAAACCCCAGAGCAACCACAAAAAGCCAAAACAAAGAGTTATAGCTAATAAACAAATAAAGGAGATAAATGGAATCCTAAAAAAAATTCATTTAATTCAAAAGAAGGCAGCAAAGTAGAAAGAAAGGAACAAAGAACAGATGGGACAAATAGAAAACAAATTGGAAGACGGACTTAAACCTAAACATATAAATAATTTATTTAAACATAGTGGTCTAGGCATCCCAATTAAAAGGCAGGGACTGTCAGACTGGATTAAAAAAATCATGATCCAACTATATGCTGTTCATAAGAAATACAATTTAAATACGAAGACAAAATAGGCTAAAAGGACAGAAAAAGATATACCACACAAATAATAATAATAACGAAGCAGGAGCGACAATATAAAAATCAGACATAGACTTCAGAACAAGGAATATTACCAGAGACAAAGAAGAATATTCCATAATAATAAAGGGGTCAATTCATCAAGAAGATATAACAACTCTAAATGTGTACACATCTAATAACAAAGCTTCAAAGATACATGAAGCCCAAACCAACACATCTGAAAGGAAAAATAGCCAAATCCAAAACCATGGTGGGAGATTTCAGCTCTCTCAGTAGTTGACAGAACAAGCAGACAGAAAATCAGTAGGGATATAGAAGACAAACAACACTCAGCCAACCCAAACCAATTGATAATGATAGAAAATGCTACCCAATAACAGCAAAATACATATTCTTTGCAAATTGTACATGAAACATTCACCAAGATAGATCATATGCTGGGCCATAAAACAAATTCTAATAAATATAAAAGGACTGAAATCATGCAAAGTATGTTCTCTGAGCACAACAAAGTTAAAATGAATATAAATAGACAAATATCTGGAATGTTCTCAAAAACTTGGAAATCGATTTTTAAAAATCCACACTTCTAAATAACCCATCAGTCAAATAAGAAAATTAGAAAATATTTTGAACTAAATGAAAATGAAAACAACATATCAAAATTTGTGGAATGCAGCTCAAGCAGTGCTTAGATGAAAATTTATAGCATAAAATACTTATATGAGAAAAAAGAAAGGTTTAAAATCAATGAAATAAGTTTCTATCATAAGAAACTAGAAAAAGAACTAAAAATCAATATAAAGTAGAAGGAAGGAAATAACAAAGATTTGAGCAGAAATAATGAAAGAGAAAAGAGAAAAATAAAATCAATAAAACTAAAAGTGGGTTCTTTGAAAAAAAAAATACAGTTCTGTAAAATTGATAAACCACAAGCTAAAATGATCAAGAAAAAGGAAAATGAGTAATAGTAGGAATGGAAGAGGGGATATCACTACAGCTCCTACAGACATTAAAACAATAAGAAGGGAATACTATGAGTGAATGGGCAAATTCCTTGAAGACAAATTATCAACATGGAAGCAAGAAGAAATAGAAAATTCAAATAGCTATATAACTATTAAAGAAATAGAATTCATAATTAAAAACCTTCCTACTAAGAAAACTCTAGGCTCAAATGTTTTCACTGGTGAATTCTATCAAACATTTAAGTAAGACATAGTATCCATTTTACATAAACTCTTTCAGCAAACAGAAAAGGCAGGATACTTCCCAAGTCATTTTATAAGATCAGCATTGCCCTGATATCAAAACCAGGCAAAGACATTACAAGAAAAGAAAACAACAGGTCAACATCCCTTATCAACATAGACACAAAAACACTCAACAAAATTTCAGCAAACTGAATCCAGCAATATATAAAAAGGATAATATACCATGACCAAGTAGGGTTTATCCCAGGAATGCAAGGTTAGTTTAACATTTAAGAAAAGCAACAATTAATGCAATTTACTGTATTAACAGAATAAGAGAACACCATATGATCATTTCAATGGATGAAGAAAAAGTATTTGATATAATTCAACACTCATTTGTGAAAAACATTTGCAGTAAATTAGGAATAGAAGGGAACTTCCTCAACCTAAAAAAGGACATTTACGAAAAAACCCACAGCTAACATCACACTTTATAGTGAAAGATTAAGTGTTTTCCCCCTATGATCGAGAACAAGACAAAGATGTTCACTCTCACCACTTCTATTCAACATTGCACTGGAGGTCCCAACCAGTGTAATAAGGCAAGAAAAAGAAATAAAAGGCATGAAGATTGTAAAGGAATAAGTAAAACTCTCTTTATTCACAGATGACATGTTTGTATACATGGAACATGCAAAGGAATCTACAAAAAAGCTACTAGAGCTAATGAGTTTAGCAATGTTACATTATTCATGATAAATATTAAAAATCAATTGTATTTCTATATTCTAGCAACAGACAATTGGAAATTGAAATTTAAAAACACTGTTGATAATAACATCAAAATCTTGAAATACTTAGGGATAAATTTAACAAAATTTGTGTAAGACCTGTTCACTGAAAAGTACAAATTAAAGTTTGAAATTAAAGACTTAAGTAAATGGAAAGATATAGCAAATTCATGGATTAAATATTGTTAAGATGTTATTCTCCCCAAATCAATCTATAGATTCAGTGCAATCTACAGATTGCCCTGCAAGACTGTTTTACATTAGTAACATACTCTTGTATATAAATCAACTTAATTCTTTTCAACGGCTACATATAGTCCCTCATATGAATGAGGCACAGTTTATCCAACTAGTCTATCAAAAGTGGTTTGGTTAAGTAAATATTTTTTGTTCACTAAATTTTGTTAATAAACCTACCTGATGATTCAGGTATATACATATATCTGATATATCTGTATATATGTATACATATACATATATATGAATACATGATATAATATAACTGCCTTACTCTCTCCTAGATTAGAGGATCCAAATAGTATTACTGGATTACAGAACATTTGTACATATAGTCCATAAGCCTTATTACACAGAGTGGGTGATTTGCTAAATTAGCCACGTGATAGTCTTTTTATGGGACCCCATGTCACCTTTGAACTTTCCCTATGGTAGAGATACCTGGACCAGTCATATGGGCAGGCTCTATTTCTCTCAGCTTTCCCAGCTGGGCCTAACTCTTCTTCCAGCTGGGATTGCCTCCTTATTCCATGCCTTGCTGGCCAACCTGGCTCCCCAATTCCTGGGCTGGGACTAACTCCCTGATCACTGGCTTTATGGCATCACTGATTTTGTATCTCTTGAGGGCTATGATTGAAATCTCACGAGTAATCACTTCTAATATTAATACTGGGCTTGCCTTACCAACTCCCTTCCCTTCACTGGCAATCTAGTGTTTTCCAATGGATACATCTATTTCCTACAGCTAGGATACCTGGTACTTCTTGCAAAGGATAGGTAGTTGCTACTGGGGTTAAACTATTTCTAGAAAAAGGCTAGATTATGCTTCCAATTCTTCCATCTTAGAAATAGAAGTTTTTAATGTATGGTGATGGATAAAAAATAGACTAGTGGGGGCTGGCCCCATGGCTGAGTGGTTCAAGTTCCAAGCGCTCCGCTTTGGCAGCCCGGGTTCGCATGTTCAGATCCTGGGCACAGACCTACACTGCACTCACTAGCCACGCTGTGGTGGTGTCTCACATACGAAATAGAGGAAGATTGGCACAGATGTTAGCTCAGGGTTAATCTTCTCAAGCAAAAAAAGAGGAGGATTGGCAATGGATGTTAGCTTAGGGTGAATCTTCCTCAGGAAAACACAAAAGAACAAAAAAAATAAAATAGACTATTGGTGGTGAACACCAGTCTATACAGAAGCTGAAATAAAACCAACACGACCTCAATTAATACACCTAAAAAATAGAAGTTTCCCAATGTGAATGTTGAGATAAATTATTTAAACACTCATTTATTCAGTTCTTCATTCAATGAATGAACACCAGTTAGGTGGGTAGTTCACACTCTGCTAAGCACTGAGGGGGAATGCAGACAACAAAAACCCAGATGACCAAATGAATGGTACAGACTATAAGTGTTATAGGAGTGTACTCAAATCTCTTAACAGGTTTGCCTTTCTAAAATCTCTCCCTTTTGCAATCTATCTTCCATAGTCTACCAAGTGAGCTTTCTAAAAACCAAAACTCATTGGTTCTCACAGAAAAAAAGTATAAACTCTTGAGTTCAGCATTCAAAGCTCTTCATAATCTTGCTGCAATTTCCATTCAAGCCTTAATCCTTCCCACTCTCTCTCATGAACTCTACATTCTACTACTGTATCAAACTTCTCACTGGTTCCATGAGGCATCATGTCCTTTCCATTCTCTGTTCCCTCTGCCTAGAATGGCTCTCCCTCTTCTTCATCTGGCAAACTCCCAATCAACCTCCAAGATTCAGTTCAAAGTCTTAGTGAAACATTTCCGCTATGCTCCTCACGTATCCTGGATTTGAGCACATTGTTCTGTCACCTTTATTAGATGATGATATTTTTGAGGGCACTGGGTTTATCTTGTTAGTCTTTGTATCTCTGAATCCAGGTCTGAATAGGGCCTGGCAAGTAGTAGGGGCCCAGTGAATATTTGCTAAATAAATGAAGGAACAAATGAAAGTGAAGGAAGAGCTCAAAGGGCCTTGGTATATTTAGGTAAGGGATTTTTAAAGGCATAGGGCTTGAAGCTCGACATAGGAAAATAGTAGAGAGGTGGGGAAAGGGTACTTGGAGGAGGACGACTATTATCCTAGGAGACAGAAGAACAAAATCCCAAGTCTGAGAGTGAAGACAATGAGGGGATCAGCCAGACTTCGGCTGATTGACGCACTGCCTTGACCTTTTCATTGACTAGATTTCTCAATTATATTTTCAGCTTCTGGGGGGCAGGGTATTTTGTATACTCCTTTGTATCCCTTTATATTTGATGCACATCTCCATAGCCATTGTTCCTACTGTCTTGTGCTTCTTACTCTGCTCTGTAATATAATTATTTATATATCTACATATCTCCCCAGCACTTATACCACCCTCCCTCCCAGGCTGCTTGAGGTAGGGGATAAGGTCTTAGTGTCTTTGCATCTTCCAAGATACCTAGCATAGTGCCTGGCACACAATGGGTGCTCTGTAAATATTTTTTCATTTACCATTTGTTGATCTGATTACAGAGGACCACAAGGATATTTGTGTGCAACTGCGTATTGTGGCACAAAACTTATATATGCCTTCACACTGCGTAGTCTATTTTTGGCAATTTTCATTAAAATGTTATCTTATTGTACCTGGAAGACTGTCATTTCAATTTTCTTCTTTGTTCCTTTTTGGATGACTCACATCTCTTATACCAGAAGGATATGATAGAAGGGATTCAAAAAGGGTTTGGACAAATTTATGAATGACAAAGTCATAAATGTCTGGGTATAAGAAGTTGTTAGGAGCATGCGAAGGGGAAGGAGAAAACCTGCATTTCAAAAGTTCCTTTTATGTGCCAAGAACTATGTGTTAGGCACTTGACATACATTATAACTCATTTAATCTCACAGAATATATCAGTATAAAGATAGGACATGTCTAGCTATACAAGCCCCCATCCATTCAGGCACACAGCTTCTCCAGGTACCAGAGGCAGTATTCATCTTTATTAAAATTTTAATAATTAATTTAATTAAATCAACCCTTTAAGATAGATGGATCTATGGATTTGCATTGTTTCATAGGAACAAAACACTCATTCTCAATTCAGGCTTCTACAGCTTAAAACTACTTTTTGACATAACTTGATCAGTTTAAAGTCTCAGTGCTTTAAATTACAATGCAATCTGAGATATTCCCACAGCAATAACAGCAATTACATTTGTTCACAAATGTAATTTGTTCGCTTACCTTTATATTTCATAAAGCTTCCAAATACTGAACAAAGGTAAGTCAAGTCAAGAAAAGAGACTTCTATTAACCCTGACACCAGCAAATTGTCTCAAATTACAGTGTGCCTTTTATTTGTATTCTAGACACATTGAGTGGTTTTTCTGAGATACATATTGTAACTCATCTATGGTTGGAAGGAAATTAGTTTGTTTCTAATTTTTAAAAAATAATAGCAACTTCAAAAAGCATAATGCTCCCCAGTGTACAGCTTCTGCCTCTGGCAGGAATCAAAATGTTATAACCAAAGTACCATTTCTACTCCTTGGGAAATGGCTTGAGAAGGTGGGGCTGCAGGTACTGGTTCATTATTACGTTACACCGTCTAAGGCCCCCAGCTACACATCCTGATCTGTGATAACATGCTTCCTGCCGGGTGTTGGGGGGGGGGTTGGGGAGAGAAGGGATACACCTTCAGATAAGGGATTGTCAGCACACTCACAGGTCTCAGACAGCTTTCTATTAACCTGTTTTGGGAAAACTAGAACAGATATCTTTGCTTTGAAAAACGTGAAGCCTATCTCATGTGACTAAAGAAAATGGCAAGTGTTCAAACAACACGTTTCACATTTTGGATGGTCCCGCCCCAGCCTCTGTGTGCCACTAATCGCTGGAAAAACACCAGACCTGTCTTTGTGGTGATTATGTGTTTCTTAAACTTTACATTAGTCAAAGAAAATTGAGAGACCAGGACTACCACCAAAGAATACAGGTGTGACATACTGCCTATGTGACTTTTTAAAGATAGATGAGAACCCAGCTTATATATTTTAAAAATTGCCCCTTCTTTTTTGAGGCTAGGGGATGAAAATATGTATATAATCCAAAGAGTTCTTTGTGTGAATAGGTGACCCCTTCCCACAGTCTCTGTAATTAATTGAGAAATTAAAGTTGGTTGGCCTTTGAGATCTCTTGTAAAAGAAAGGCAGAAGGTCCTGGATATTTTGGAACAAGAGTCCACTATTCTGCCAAGACAGTGTGTTATTGTTATTGGAGTGTCTCTCAACAAAACGGTATTGAGTGGTGAGGACGTGATTTTGATTAGGTGGAATGACTCAGCTCTTCCCCTTAAAGAAGAGAGGACTTGTCACAGCCTTACTTACCTCATGATCTGGGATCTCAGAGGATAGTGTTTTCCCTAGGATGACCCCGGTCAAGTATGTCCAGCATCGAGCCGTGTTGGCAAGGTTATAGCCTCCTGTCTCCATCAAGAATTGTGAAGTTAGGAAAGAACAGTCACAAAACAGCAGGAGAGGGAAGGGGGGTAAGGAAGGAGAGAAAAATGTTTTAATAAAAGGGCTAAAAACACAACTCCAACTTGCAGAATTTCACCCAAACATCCCTTTATGATATTTTTGAACCTGGCAGGCAGACGTTAATGGACCAGTCAGAGCATGAACAGTGTAGAACCGGGAAGTCCAAGGCCTACAAAGATTAAATAGGCCCTTATCTCTGAACAAATATGCACCTGAGGACTCCAAGCTCCTCAAGTCCATCAAGAGTCATCAGCAAGACTGAGATCCCTGGAACCCAGATCTCTTGAGGTGACCTACCCAACGTGAAGGTTTCTGTGATGAATTTTGCAACAATTCTATAAAATGACTCCTGAATGTGATTTGTATGTTAAAACTATTGGCAGATACAACCCTAGAAACATCCAGGAAAGAGTAAAGGAAAATGCTGACAGAAACAGACTTCCTTCTTTTAATATCAGCATTCCCTTTCTTCACAGAACACAGGCCTAGTGGCAGAGATCAAAGAGAATGAGACGAGGAAGGGGCTGTTGATTGACACTCTGACCCATCTCGTCAGGTCCTGTCACAGTCACCCAGCAGCCATATTATACTGGCAAGTAATCAGCATATTTTTGTGCTGAATAGATGTGTTCTGCCACGCAAGCATTAGAACATTGGCCTTTAGCTAAATTCCAAGAGTGTAAGGATAAAATGGAATGATTTCCTAACCTCAGTGCAGCCTGAGGGAAATAGAATCTGATCTATTTTAGGTAGAGTGATCATATAATTTATTGTCCAAAATGGTATACTTTTAAGAAAAGGGGACACTACTAATAATTACACTGGGATAACATATAAATTTGGATATATGGTGACTCTTTTCTTATGCCTTTCTACTCCTTGAAAGATCAGGGATGCTGGTGCTTCTGGAATGTGGCTTTTAGACCTCAATGGGGTCCACTGCAGCTTGGGGTGTGGCCCCATCTCCATTAACTGTCTATATGTTATTGGGGGTTGAGAATTTAAGTGAAATTGTACAGGTATTACTTTATTATTATTTTTTAAAATAATTTTATTTATTTATTTTTCCCCCAAAGCCCCAGTAGATAGTTGTATGTCATATTTGCACATCCTTCTAGTTGCTGTATGTGGGATGCAGCCTCAGCATGGCCGGAGAAGCGGTGCCTGGGTGCGCGCCCGGGATCTGAACCAGGGCTGCCAGCAGCGGAGCGTGCGCACTTAACCACTAAGCCACGGGGCCGGCCCCAGTACAGGTATTACTTTAAACATTCCTGACATGGAAAATCTGAATTTGGAAGACGGACTTATTGGGCGTGATTATTTGATTTCAAAAAAGAGTCACTATAGGTTTTAAATAGTAAGCTCTCTCTGGTGCACATACAATACAATTTGATTTGCAAAAATTCCATTTATGCACAGGCATTTTCAGGAATACACATATTGCACAAGAAGAGTTATATATTCAAAAGCCAAAACTTGGGGCTGAGAAAGCAAAGAGACTTTGAAAACGCTAAGTAAAGGCTGCAGCCTCAAACAAAAGTTGAATGCACACAGATGTATGTTGTGGAAAGGGCTTTTTTTCTTTCCCCTAGCTGTACCTGTATCATCATCACCATCCTTAGTGCCATCAAGGAAAGTAATACGTCACACAGTACTTATCAATTTTATCTCTTCCCTGAGTTGAAGTTAATACGTTTCTTGCCAGCTTTTCATAAAAGGTTGTCTCTTGTAAGCACTTTTAATTTTGATCCCTCTAGGATTGGAGGCTGCCAAAGGACCAGGCTTGTGTATTTGTGTTGAATGCTTACTCATTTTTATAAGGCCTTCCCATGATCTCCTCTATTTTGGTTTTTACAACAGGTTGACAAAAGCAACAAACTATTAGCTGCTCCATAATGCATACATTTTAAGCTCAATCTGCTTGACCATGTTATTTTAACACACCAATTCATTCATCCAATGAAATAAAGATTGTGCCAGATAGATAGACAGAAGATTCTAGGCAAGGCATCTTCAAGGTAGTTGAGATTGTGAAAGGTCCCTTTCACAAATGTGTAAATGCTTCTATTAAACAGACCCAGCTTTCTGCTGGTTAAGTACTGCAAAACATCAGTACATACTGAAGGCAAGAATGCCCAAGAGACTCTTCAGATCTCTCATTTTTGCTTTATTGTAACAAATCTATGCATTTTAAGGGGGAAGAAGTTGTTTTTGAATTCAGCTTAGATATTTAATTAATTCATGTGTTAGAATTTTAGTGGTATGTTTCCAAAAGATGATTATTAGAACTGAGAATCAAAGACTATACTGAGAGAAGATGGATCAAAGTCCACTGAGATTAACATTCTTCTATTCTTAATAAGACCTGTTGTCACCTTTAACCTAAGGACCTTTGCTTCAGGAATTAAAACTCAGACTTCAGAGTGCCAAGGAGTCAATGCACATTCCAAGCTGATGAGAAGTGTGTCAGAGTACTTCCTTATGCTGAACTGTAAAGGTGGCAGAGTTCACTGACTCAGGCTTCTGGACCACAGGCAGGTTGGTATTACCCAATCTAAGAAAGCCAAGTTTTCCTCACTGTCAATGGACAAAATGTGGAGGAAGGTCAACAAATTCTCCTGGTGACCTTTCTTTGTACTCACCTCCTCCCAAAATGAGTGTTGCCAATTGCCACTGAAGGATGTACTTAAGACACTTGCCAATTCCCACTGGAGTCATGTTAAAGGAACACATGGGATCCCCAGCTATTGTATCAGCGCCCAGCTGTAAGACGACTGCTTTGGGATTAAAGGCTATGTATACCTCCTTTAGTACACTGTAGAAAAGAGAAAGGGTACAAAATGTCAGAAAAAGATAGGTCGGTTTGGTCTAGGGGTGGTAGTGGTGGGGCCAGTTGGAGGTATAGTTGAATCAGCAAATAGTGAAGGGAAAAAACCCAACTTGTCAAACTCATCAAACTTTCCATCTAAAAAGGGTGAATCAGACTGAATATAAATTATACCTCGATAAACCTGACTTACAAAAAAATTCCTCCCACCCCCACCCTCCCCAAGGACTGAATTTGCCCTTCTGTTTTAGAACTCAGACTTCCTTTAAATATTCATATTAAGTTAACTTCAACAGCCATAGGACATGTGTACACATTACTCCATTTCACAATCTGGGAAAACAAGACATATACATTGAATAGCTATTAAGGATTATTTCTGATAACTTAAGATTGTCAACATACTTGGAGTTTATCACTTAGTTATTAGTGGGGGCTGGTGAAGAGAATTATATGCTTTGAAAGCATAGATGTTATCAGCTTACTTTTTATTACGCTAAAGGACTTCTGGGTTATGAAATGCAGCCCTCTGCAATTTGTACATAACCAGAGCGTTATAGGGAAGGGAACCGTAACAACTGATTCAAAGCTATAAATCTGAAAGCCAAATTATACTAGGTTATAATGAGCATGATTTCAGGTAGACTCATTCAATGCTATCAAATCAATCTAACAGCATTTTCGACAGTTAGAAGCCTTATAGATGAAAAGGAAGTTGTCAATGTGACAGACAACCTTAGTCAGGCTTCCAGTATTATCATTAATTGAACACTGACAATGTCCAGAATGCATTCCTAGGAGTTATAAGGTCCTTACTCTCAAGGGGCTTACAATCTAGTTCCCAGACAAAACATATACCAGTCCTCAAGGGCCTGAGTAACTCTTACAGAGACATATAAACAAGTGCAAATTAACATACTTCAGAATCGAGAAAATGCAGAGTCAAAAAGTGATCAAAAATGTTAGGGTTAATGACTCCTTCATAATCAACATGTCAAATTATACCAGTGCAGAAAAAACAGAAAAATTCCAGATCCTTCTGCAACTGCAAATAGAATTCAGCGATATAAAATGCGGTCCTCCCAAATTCATATGTAACCAGGGTATTGAAACTATTGAAAAGTACTCAGTTGCAGAGGCATTCTTTGACTCAAAAGACTGTTTTGTTTTGATTTCTCATCTACACAGACAAATATTGAGTGATTGTAGAGATTATAAGAATATTATGGGGCCAGCCCCGTGGCTTAGCAGTTGGGTGTGCGTGCTCCGCTTCCGGCGGCCCGGGTTTGGATCCCGGGCGCGCACCAACCCACTGCTTGTCGGGCCATGCTGGGGCGACGTCCCACATACAGCAACTGGCAGGATGTGCAACTATGACATACAGCTATCTGCTGGGGCTTTGGGGAGAAAAAGGGAAAAAAATAAAGGAGGAGGGTTGGCATTAGATGTTAGCTCAGGGTCGGTCTTCCTCAGCAAAAAGAGGAGGATTGGCATGGATGTTAGCTCAGGGCTGATCTTCCTCACACACACACAAAAAGAATATTATAAAACTTATGACACATGATTCTTAATACAGGAATACTTGGGCCTGTTCTCTCTTTCATGTGCTTATCTCCTGGGTGCAGGAGGAAGATAAGCCACCTGAATAGTTAGCCAACATTTATTGAGCATCTACACGTACAGAGCACCCTACTAGGTGCTGCCAGGAGACACAGAGGAAGGCATGATTTCTGCTCTAAAAAGCTTAATGGGGGGCTGGCCGGTGGTGTAGTGGTTAAGTTTGCGCACTCCACATTGGCAGCCCAGGGTTCACGTGTTCAGATCCCAGGCGCGGACCTATGCACCGCTTCTCAAGCCATGCCCTGGCAGGTGCCTCACATATAAAGTAGAGGAAGGTGGGCATGGATGTTAGCCCAGGGCCAATCTTCCTCAGCAAAAAAGAGGAGGATTGGCAACAGATGTTAGCTCAGGGCTAATCTTCCTCACACACACACAAAAAAGGTTAATGGGGAGGAAGAGGTGACAAGCAAGACTAACGTTTCTTCATTCATTCTTTCCTTCACTTTGCACACATTTACTGAGTGCCCTCTGAGTGTCCAGCATGTAACTGTACCAGATGCTGCAGGAACAAAGATGAATATGGCACAGCTCTTATCTTCATGTAGCTCAGAACAGAGGGGAAGACTCAGACTACGTCAATAAGTAATAAAAATACAATGATAAATGAAGTATCAGAGACGGCACAGAGGAAGGAGTAACCCTGACTCAGGTCTTAAAAGATGAGAAGTACAATGAGCTACCTATCAAAATGGCTAAAATGAAAAATAGTGATAATATTAATGGCTAGTAAGGATGTGGAGAAACTAGATCACACATACCTTGTGGGTGGGAATGTAAAATGGTATAGTCACTCTGAAAAACAGTTTGGCAGTTCCTGTCAAAACTAAAAATAGACTTACCATGTGATCTAGCAATTGCACTCTTGAGCATTTATTCCAGAGAAATTAAGACTTATTTTCATATAGGAACTTGTACATGAATGTTCATAGCAGCTTTACTTGTAACAACGCAAACTGGAAACAACTCAGATGTACTTCAACAAGTGAAAGGGTAAACAAACTGTGGTACATCCATACAATTGGCATATTGCTCATCAATAAAAATAAACTATTAATACATGCAAAAAACTTGGATGGATCTCAAGCGAATTATGCTGGGTGAATAAGGCCAATCCCCAAATCTCTACTGCATAATTCCACCTGTATACCATCTGTGAAACAACAATTAGAGGGATAGAGAACAGATTAGTGGTCACCAGGAGTTAGGGAGGGCTGTGGCTCTAAAAGGGTAGCATGAGAGAGCCTTGTGGTGATGGTACAGTTCTGTATCTCGATTGTGGCGGTGGTTGTGGTTATAGAAAGCGACACATGTGATAAAATCCCATAGAGCTACACACACACACACGAATGCATGTATAACTGGTGAAAACTGAATAAGCTGTATGGATTATACCAATGTCAGCCTCTTGATTTCGATGTTGTACTATAATTGTGTAAGATCTCAACATTGGAGGAGGCTGGAGGAAGGGGGCACAGGATTTCCCTGTACATTTCTTTGCAACCTCCTGTGAATCTATGATTATCTTGAAATTTTTAAAAAGTGAAAGAAAAAAAAGATTAGGAAAAGTTTACAAGCACGTAGGGTGAAGGTAGGGGAGTTGGAAGCAGGGATGGTTGTGGGGGTTATCGGTAGGGGACTAGGTTCAGAGAAGGAACTGCACACACAAGAACATGAAGGCTTAAAACAGGGAGTGGTGGGAGTGAGGCTAGTGAAGTAAACGGGGATTAGGGCACAAAGGGCCAGAAATGCCAGGCAGGCTAATGAGTTTGGACTTAAGGGTATGAAACGTCTCAAACATTGTGGGTATGTACATGTGTGTGTATGTGTTGGGGGCACACTTAGATTTACATTTTGAAAAGATCTTCTGACTATAGTGTAGGATATACTGAGGGTTATCAGGAGGCTTTTGCAACCATCCGGGCCAGTGGCAGCAAGGTTAGGGAGGAAGAAGTGGATTTGGGAGATATTTCTGTGGTAGAATTGATAGGGCAACACATAGTGACACACAAGAAAGCATATACTTATAACATTCATGAGAGTTTGGTACTAGGAGAGAGGAAAGGATAAAGGAAGGTAAGTATTTCTGGAATAGTTCTTTTAATGATAGTCAGGAAGGGAAAACGAGTCCTCAGGGAGTTCTGATGAAGAGCACTCTGAATGGATAGGGAAAAGGGTAATTGGAAATACCCTACCTGCAACAGGTAGGGTATTTTGTACACAGTGTAAACATTAAAGCAACTGGAAGTGAGGACAGCTTACAGATGGCTACACTGTGGACATGTTTAATTCAAGACTGGAAGTTTTCATTTGGTTTGATGGTCAAATGGGAGCCACGGGAGAAATAAGAGAAAAGTACTGATGTTGATGAAAAATAACGCTTAGGAACTTTGATTTTTGCTGTTGCATATAGGGCCAAAGAAAGAAAGTCTGAAGGCAGAGGAGTAGGCAAAAATGGTATTGAAGCACTCTAGGCACAAGAGCAATAGGAAGCAAGATAAGGTAAATTTGGTAAAAAAAGAGAGGGTTAGGTGATAGATTGGGTTGCGGGGGAGGGGGGCGTCAAAGGAGAAAAGACACTGTGCCCATCCCTCCAGAATTCACAGGAGGGGGAAAGAGAAATTGGAAAATTCCTTTTCCTGTTACTACTTCTAAATCCAGTATTATTCCCTCTCATCAATCTCTCCTCTTTTGAGGTCAATGTCATTTGCTTATACTACTCAAATACTATCAAAGTTCTTATCTATAGACCTACAATGTACTCTTTAACTGCCCTTGAGGATTTTAACCCCTGGTTCACAATTTTTCTGTCTCTCCCTTTCCTTGTTATCATTCTCTGCAGGTCAATATTCATTCACTCACTCAAGTCTTGAGTCAAGCACCCACTATTCCCTACGCCAGGCACTAGAGATATAGAAATGAGGTAAGCCTCAAGGAGCTTATGATCCAGTAGGGGAAGAAGACAAAAACAAATAAATATGATGTGCTATATTATTCATTCATTCATTCAGCAAATATTAGCTGAATGCCTACTATATACCAGGCACTAGGTTGGGCAATGGGCTTACTGTATTGAATGAGAGACCTGCTCCTTTCCCCTGTGACCCTTCTAATTCTCTGACATCACAGTTTCTTCATCTTTTGAACAATAGTGATGACCATCTGCACTCCACTTTAGTTACCCTTAGGCATAGCCAAGCTTTGGGGCCTGATAAGGAAGCACTTGGAATTGCTCCGCTTCTAAGACCCTGAATTGTGAACTACTTTTTCTGTGTACAATTTTATATCCTTCCATGTTTCCTCCATTGAACTTGCTCTTCATTCTCATTATAACTCTTGTTTCCTAGTCTTTCTCTTATTTTCAAAGTCTG